GTAAATCCAGCAATGCATTCAATACAAATTGGAATAATTAAAACAATTGAAAGAATTAAAACAAATTTAAAAGTAAAAAAAACTAAATACCTGAAGAATATGGGTGTATCCGGCAAGATTTTTAACCCAAGTCCGACTACTAATCCCCAACTGTTTTTACAAGTATGCAAGTGTAGCGGAAGCCCATGAGTACTTCCCGATGTTCTCATGGTCTCCACAAAGCATAATCCACCAAGGCTTCATCTTATCACTCTATTTATCAGGGACGAGAACCAACCCGATAAGATAAGTCAGATAAAGCTACACCCAGTCCTTGATCCGACAATCTGTAGCTCTCATTTGATCCCAGAGCATGCTCAACTTGACCCCGCACCTGCTCCAATTTGCATCCAACTCCTCTACGTCGGCTCCCAACAACCCCGCAAGAGCATGTGTGCATTCCTCTCGCTCTGGTAAATCATCCAATACCCAGCCCTCTACACTCAACCCCATAATCATCTGCACGTCGTGGAGCGTGATCGTCATCTCGCCCCATGGCATGTGAAAACTGTTTGTCCCGGGCTGCCACCTATGCGAACATCAACGCGTGCTCTACGTTGTGTAGATAGTAATCTTTCAAGTGGTACAAGCCGGTGGCCCGCAATATATCAATCGCAACTACTTTCTCGGGTTCCGGGTCCTTGCACTGTTTCAACGAGTTAATCCTCGACTCACAACGGCCCAAAGTTTTCTCCTGCACAATTAAAATTATATATATTTACCTATCTGATAATTAATCGGCTATATGCAACGTGAAATAAATTAAATATAAATTCAATTACAAAAATTATGAGTTAGAAACTTACCCGCCCAATCCAAATATAAACAGTTATATGCGACTTGAAACTGGGTATCAATTCATACTCCTTTGGACCGCCCGGATACTTATCCTCTAGCACGTCTTGATCCACCCATTAGCTCGAACTTGCCTTGTGCACCACGACCTCCATGGCCACCACCGACACCACGGCCACCACGGGCCCCACGGGCTTCACGGCGTCGAGCCTCAACCTCCTCCTCTTCCTCTGGAATTTGAACTGGAATCTCCAAATCATCATCAGCCTGAGTAGTCTGATTGTTCATATAGTCGAACATGTTCCCTTCAACCTCATTGGCAATCTGGGCTTCGGCCTCCTCATCCTGCCAAACCTCGGGAGTAACATATAGATCATCAGTGGGAAGGTTCGATACCCCTGCATGGGCATGTGCTTGTCTCTGTCTCCGGTACGATGTAGTCGGACGATGATCTCTCTCGGGAACTACAGACGATGATCCTTGTGTGAGAGGACCCTTTCCTCGGCCTGCCATCTGTAATTTTTTTCATTTACAAAAATCAATGAATATAAAATAATAAAACACATATTGAAAAAACAAAGTAAATAAATATTCCATGTTCTTCTACACGGAATTGAACATATGTATTTTGTGTAGAATCACATATAATAACTCGAATTTAAAAAAAAAATCAAATAAATATTCCATGTTATTCTACACGAAATTGAACATAGATATTCCATGTAGAATCACATGGAACAACTCGAATTTAAAAAATAATAATTAAATATTCCATGTTATTCTACGCGGAATTGAACATAGGTATTCCGTGTAGAATCACACGGAATAACTCGGAATTAATTTAAAAAAAAAAAAAAAAGAATTGTTCCTTTTAGATCCACACAGAATTGGTAGAGTCAATTCCGTGTAGTTTTACACGGATATATGTTGTACACGATATTTCCGTGTAGATCTACAGGGAACAAACTCTATCAATTCCGTGTGGATCTACACGGAACTCACAAAATTCGTTTTTTTTTCGACAAATTCATGATTCAAGGTTTGTAAAAGTAGAAAAGTTACCTCAGATTTGTAGTCTACGAGTCTCAAATTGTCATCAATAGATTTTGTGGGTTGAGAGAGTTTGAGAGAAATTAGGTTTTTAGATTTTAAAAGTTAATAAATATTAAAGTTACTCTGTGACCTATAAATTTTAATTATGTAAATATCATTTCAGATGTGACAAATAAGAAAATACTGCAAATACAACCGCAAACGTCATTTGTAAGGGAGTCTTCCATAATTTGAGCTTAGTAAGTTATTTATATATATTTTTATATTTATGTGTGGATTATTTGCATTCTTATTATTGATTTGGTTTTAGTATGTGCTATTGAGCTCCCTGTTTTTAGTTCATCATTAAGAGGGTGTTTGGCTAAGCTTATAAGATATTAAAATGAGCTTATAAGATGTTTTAGAGCTTATAAGGTCTTCCAAAGTGTTTGGTAAATTTTTAAGAAAAGATCTTAATTTTTTTTTGAAAAAAGCTTTTGGAGAACAAATAAGATCTTTTTAAAAAAGTACCTCTACCCCACATTTTTATTTAAGATCTTATAATGAGTAAAAATAAGAAATAAGCTCATTATCCAAACACTCTAAAAATTAATCCTAAATATAAGATGTAACAGCTTATCAGCTCTTAAAACATCTTATTTGATGTAAGAGCTTATCAGTTGTTTAAAATAAGCTTAGCCAAACACCATCTAAGAGGGTGTTTGGCTAAGCTTATAAGATGTTAAAAGGAGCTTGTAAGATGTTTTAGAGCTTATAAGCTCTTCCAAAGTGTTTGGTAATTTTTTTAAAAAAAAATCGTTTTTTTTAAATAACTTGTTGTAGAGCAAATAAGATCTTTTTAAATAAGTACATCTACCTCACCTTTTTATTTAAGATCTTATAATGAATAAAAATAGGAAATAAGTTTATTATCCAAACACTCTAAAAATTAATCCTAAAAATAAGATGTAACAGCTTATCAGCTCTTAAAACATCTTATCAGACGTAAGAGCTTATCAGCTGTTTAAAACAAGCTTAGCCAAACACCCTCTAAATCGGTAGTCAATGAGCTTATGCCATTTATCTTTAATTTTGTGAAATGCTTTTTACGGTTTGAAAATTGCTATTTACCGTTCATAACAAAAAAACCATTTATCTCTCTAAAACCCCAAATCCTCCAAAAAAAAAACCCAAAAACCCCCCAAACTGCAAATAGCAAAAAAAAAAAAATTCGAAAATTCTCGATCAAGCTTGAAGAAGGGTTGGACTTCGATTTTTTGAGGTTATGCATTGGGTATGTCGATTACGGAACCAATTTCATGTTAAAAAGCCCCACAAATCGATTTGTAGGGCCTTTTTTTTTCGCACATACACCCACGAACGCCCAAGACGGGCGCCCACGGCGTGTATGACCGCCCGTACCGGGCGTTCGTACACGCCGTGGGCGCCTGCCTTGGGCCTTTTTTGGTTTTTTTTGAGGTTTTGGAGTTTTAGAGAGATAAAGGTTTTTTTGTTATGAACGATAAATAACAATTTTTAAACCGTAAAAAGCAAGTCCTTTAATTTTTAAGAAATTTTTATTATGGCTACAATGTAGTTGACATATGTTCAAGATCTAAAGATTGTTCTGTCGGTGGAGAGAAGAATTGTTGGTGGAGACATCATTGTGTTATATTATTTTGTAAATTTTTCAATATATTGGTATTTTTATTTTTTAGTTAATTGCTATGTTGTTACAAGTTTTAGCGGACTTTTGAATATATAGATTCATAAATACATTGAATTTTATTATGCAGTTCCTTCCAATTTCGTGCATAATGCGGGTTAAGTTGTTAGTTATTACGTACGACTAAAATTATTTAGAGGGTGTTTGGCTAAGCTTATAAGATGTTAAAAGGAGCTTATAAGATGCTTTAGAGCTTATAAGCTCTTCCAAAGTGTTTGGTAAATTTTTAGAAAAAGATCTTAATTTTTTTTTAAATAAGCTGTTGGAGAGCAAATAAGATCTTTTTAAATAAGTACCTTTACCCCACCTTTTTATTTAAGATCTTTTAATGAGTAAAAATAGGAAATAAGCCCATTATCCAAACACTCTAAAAATTAATCCAAAAAATAAGATGTAACAGCTTATCAGCTCTTAAAACATCTTATCAGACGTAAGAGCTTATCAGCTGTTTAAAATAAGCTTAGCCAAACACCCTCTAAGCAATATATTGGTGTGATTTATTAAATAATTATTATTCCACCACAAGCCCAAACAGGAAAATCGGGCCCTAATAAAAAGAGCACAAAGGGATCTCGAGTAAGAACCATAACTACATGACTGAGCATAAAAAGGATTGACGCGAGTGCTAAGCTACCGAGTAGATAAGCCCCATATGCGAGCAAGATGGATCGCGCCTACTTGCATTATAAGGAAATCACGAGGCTGGCGCCGTAGGCTAGGATTACTAGTATACATTTTAATGTCCATCTCGATGATTACCAATCGATATTATGGGCTTCTGAGAGGAAAATTTTAAGAACGATAGATATCTCGAAAACATGGTTGGACGACCAAAGTAATAATTACATGAACTCGCTCGACCTCAAAATATCTGGAATTTGACGTATTAGGAAGAATAATGAAATGAACAGTAGAAATGAGATAGTTCAATGTTGGGTACACGCCCCAAATGACGATCAAAGGCCAAACATATGCCGAGTTCTTGAAATTAAAATTTTAGTAATGTTATAAGTAAATATTGAAATTTTAGTGTAGAACTCTTATTTGTTGTATGGAACAATAACAATTGAGAGAACAATGTTCACTTTAAAACAACATTATAATTTGCAAACAACGTTTACAAGATTTTAATATAATGTTTGAAAAGTTTATGCGACAATATTATAATTTGCTAAAATTTTAATTGAACTGAAGTTTACGTCTCTCATATGGTTTGCAAACTATTATACGAGAATGTAAGTTAACCCAGTCCACATATATGATTTGGCTGCGATTTCTTTCGTTATATATATTAAAAAAATAATAATAATAATAGGATGCTTCAATGTAGGGTTCGGGGCCCCGGATAATTGGATTTTGCATCTGACCAATAAAATTCGTGTCCAAAACGACACCGTAAGAGTGATGTTTTTATTCTCTTAACCCTTTTTCTTCCTACCGCAAACACCATTCTCTCTCGCTCTCCATTTTCACTGCTCTAACCTTCAATTTCCCCAAATACGACGTCGTGACAAATCAATGGCTTCTTCACTGGCTGCCATGACCGCTCGCAGAGCCGCTAATTTCGCTCGCCTCTCACCGTCCATCTCATCGGCCGTTCGACCGTCTTCTCTAATTTCCCGCCGCGGTCTCGCCGGCGCCGCTGGTACTGATTTCAATTCGGCATTCCCGACCGATTCATTATTTATTGTTGATATATGTGACTGCGTTATTCGATATATCTGATTTTTTACATTTGACCTTCTTCGCTGGCTATTATTATGATTTGATATAGATCTCTTGGAAAAAAATGGGTTTTATTTGTTTTGTTTTTATAGATCACCATGGGCCGCCGAAGGTTAATTGCTGGTCGAAACCATCGGATCCAGCCAACTGGAAGGAAGAGCATGTGAGTTTTTAAGTGTTCCCTTCTTTTTTTTTTCTGCCGTAATTTGGTGCTGCTTTTCTATATCAATGGGTTGTAGTTGTTTTCTTGTTAATTATTACAGTTTAAGATTAATGTTTGTTTTCTGTAGCATATGTGGAACTTTAGAGTAATGGTTCTACCAGTTTGACTGAAATTAAAGATCTATTTTTATGAACATTGGAAGAGGGATTAATGAAGCTGATAGGTTAGGCATGAACGTTCCGATGCTACAGATAATTTGAGGCAAATAAGCAAGATTACTAGACATACGTATGGAACGAGTATTCCAATAAGTGGACAATGAACAAGATCTTCATGACTAACCAATTCATAACACTAGAGATTATTTGTTCCAATGACTTAAATCCAGAGAAAATTCCACGTTCCTGCTCCGTAATCAATGATAATGGAATTCTAAAGGAAGAAAAAACAGATAAGCTCTTAATATTTATTGATGTACCATGGAGGTTAAGATATGTGGGTTACTGGTTTAACAAAGCTACGCTTATTACTTTAACTGGTGACATAAATCTGTATATCTTGATGAATTAATAAAGTTGCGTCTGAGATCATCATTCTTGTATGCTGAGGATGATATGTAAGCTTGAAGTAGAACAGTTTGAATTTCTTGAAAAATCTCAGGGCGTTTTGAAGGAGGTGGAAAGGTGGGTGGCGTGTGACCCGGCCCTCCGATGTTCGGCTAATGGACTTATATAAGTTTAGCAAGATGAAGGGGTTTACAAATAATTACTTAACATTTGGTTTTGTCAAAATGCAAAACCACGGTGAAGCAGAATAACTTTAGTGTTATTCTGTCAACAGGGCTATATCTCTAACTCCTAGAATATAAGGGACTGGGAGAATTGAAGAGTCTCGAGGTGTGATTATTTGGGGGGGGGGGGGGATTTATATAGCATCTATCTTATGTCAAAATGCAAAACCACGGTGAAGCAGAATAACTTTAGTGATATTCTGTCAACAGGGCTATATCTCTAACTCCTAGAATATAAGGGACTGTCAGAATCGAAGAGTCTCGAGGTGTGATTATTTGGGGGGGGGGGGGGGGGGGGGATTTATATAGCATCTATCTTATGACAAAATTTTCTTGATGAACCTTAATATCATCATAAATGATTATATATATGTTGTATAATTCGTTTTAGATGATGTCGTATGCTCATATGTTTTGTAGAAACTTTTTCTATTCCTGCTGCAATTGGCTTGAAATTGAATTATTTTTTTTATGGCGACCTTAGACTACATGAGGAATAATGAACATATGCTTCTCCTCTTTCAAACTTCATCCTGCTAGTTGGTTACGATGTCCTTCTTAGAATAGAAAGCCCATAGTACAATGCTTCAGACTAGAAAAGGCCGTATGGTTAGTATTACTTAAAGAGCACACTCTTGTATAGAGACGAGAAAAGAGTTATAACGAGGAAATATTTTTTTCCAAGACAGACAGATTTTTATCTCATACTGTAAGATAGACACAAACTACTAAATTGACACAGATCCCCTATCTCCTAACCTAAGAAATGCTCCTTAATATTATTTAAAACGTCTTCTCAAGATGAAACAATTTTATCACACAAAAAGATGCAAAATTTAAATATTCCCTAATACTCCCTTGGTTCATGATAGCCACCAGTTGTCTTCCTCGTCTGACAAGCAGTAAAGATACTTGGAGACAGGATATTTTAACACCTTTATCAGAGTCTTGGCGACTTCGCGCAACCATATTAGATGTCAAAGTTGATGGCTCAGTTAGCTGAAGTAGGAGGGGCCAGTCAAGTTTGCCAAACATGATCAAGTATTTATCAGAGACATGAAATTTTTTGATTTTCGAATGTTACAGTTTAAAGCCTGATAGAGCAGAATTTTATTACCATCCTGCTTCACAGATAATAACTTCTCATTCAACCCCAGTACCCGAGAGTTTTGTTTTTCTGAGAGTACATATCATCAACAACATCTCACATCTCTTTGACAAAACTCGAAAACATAATATAGGTACTAACTACTACCTCCATTGGTATCGAGAAGCCATGTCATAACAGACTAGTCATGTTGTTGCGAAGTGACAAATTTGGCATCTTTAGAATGTAGAGGGTGCAAACATATGTGTCTACTTATCTAAGAATCAGGAAAAAGTTTGAAAGTTTGAAACCGACATATATTTTTCTAACCATTCAATTTTACAGCTGTACTTAGGGCAGTTGAACCAAGGAAGAGTTTGGAATGTTGAAACCATGATAGATTTATGGTTTTCTTAGAATACAGTTTCTGATATTTATTTCCTTTCTTTTGGTGCTATTTTAGGAAATCTAATCTCTTCTAGTACTATGATACTATGTTAGAATAGAACAGGCAGGACAACCGAGTTTAGTGTTTTACAACAGAAAAGCCGAATGATTAATATTATTCAGTTGGCCCTTGCATATAATGAGGAAATAGTTCTAAATATAGACGCATGTCTCCTAACCTAAGATAGATACAAATTACTAAATAGACACAGATCTCCCATCCTAAGATAAACTCCTATTATCTAACAGTTACAATCGTCATTAGACTTTCTTTATCATTTTAATGTCGTCCTCATGATAATAATTGTTTTTTTTTTTCTTAAATTAGCTGTAGATTTGTTTGCAATTTGTTTATATGCATTACTTATTACTTTTGGTTTTTTAGTTTGTCATTGTCTCTTTAACTGGATGGGGTGTGCTTATCTTCGGAGGGTACAAGTTGTTCGCAGGAGGAAAGAAGGAAGAGGTACTTGTTCACCCTTTTCGTATAATTAGCGTGCAGCGTGTGATGTGGTTTTATTAATAGTTATATATCTACTACCTCTTAAAGATTGATGCATTTCATGTTCTCTTGAGACTCTGATTGAGATCTTCTCTGTCAGCATCAACTTTAATATTTTCTTACATATGCATGTTAATAGCTGTAAAATTTGCATTTTTGTGAACACCTTTTCTTCGTGAGTCGTGTCCTTCATTGTAGGTATAGTTACTAAATGATAAAGAATCAGCTCAAAAGTAAATTCATATTAAACGACAGATATACCTATGACTTCATTAGTGTTTTGTAACTGCTTAGTGATAATTTAGCCGCATAAATTGTTTTTAACTCTAGGGTTTACTAGATTAGCTGTTTAGAGTAGTTATAAATGACAGTCTTGTTTCTTGTCGAAATTTTACCTATCAGAAAACACCCACCAGCTACTGCCATTGGCTTGAAAGACTACGCTCGTACTTGTGCTTTTAACTTTGCAAATATGATGTCTTAGATCATCTTGATTGTGTTAACTGTTGTGATTTTATATTAGTTATACTGACGGTCGAGATCTTAACCTCTGCAGAAATTAGTGGAAGCAGCACAATAGGCTGGAGATCCATTAAACTAGTTTATTCTTCTAATAATATGTGCTTCAACTCGATTGTTTGTATGGAGAAAGTTTATCTCCGGTGATCTTTGTTATCTTTTTTTACTGAGGAAGAACGACGATGTTTTTTTTCTTATTGTCCTGGCGACTCTCGTTTTACTACACCTTCCTGTTTGTTTTATCTTTTCATAATAATGGAAAAAAAGAACATGTGCCATTTTGAGCTGTCATTGTTAGCCTTTTTCTCCTGTTTTATGTAGTGGCTATGCATTGCTAATGTAGTTACTCGGTTATGAATTTCGATCATCTATACATATTGCTCGTGTATCGTCTTCGAAGAAAAAACAACTATTGTTAAATATGATCGGCATATCGCCATGTCCAAGTTTCCGTTTCCGTGCCACATTGGTTGCTGCACATATGGGCGTTGCTTCTTATTTTGTTCCTTTTCAAATTACTAGTACTAGTAATACACCCGTGCGTTGCATGGTGAATATAGTGAAGAATGATGTGTTATATTATTATGGCACATAATCGAATAGAGTGGGAAAAAATAATTCTAAGAATTTTAGTAAAATCTATGGAGTTTTATCCGGAAAAAAAGGAAAACCTATCGAGCGAATTTTGTTAATGATCATTGAAATAAATAGTTATGTGAAGTAAAACAAATTGTCTTATCTCCAACTGAAAATATAAAATATTGTCCTAACCAAATAATACAGCTACTTATCTTTAATGCACTTATATCATCAGTGCAAATAATAACACAATAATAACAAAATAAAAACAAATGTTTAGTTCAAATCAACCATTACTTGTAAGTAACTTGTAAACAAAATTATATTCTTGTTGATATAATTACAAACAACATAAATATAATGTTAGATTACGAAAAAATTATCCTTGTTTGGACAATTACAACTTTTCATTTGAGGTTCTCTCTTCACTTAGTACCCTTTTCTTCTCAAAATGATAATTACAACCTCCTTATTTTACTCATAAACATTTAGTATATTGTTTAAGAAAAATAAAACATAACGGGATCTCATAATGCGTACCAATAGCTTATAAGCTCATTATCAAAATATTTAAAAAATTAAGTTTAAATTTAAAAAAATTAAATTGAGAAGTTATACAAAGAAATTTAGAGAAACCGATGAAAAGTATTAACAAGAAAAAGATAGATCTTCTGAGAGGTTACAGATGCAGGTGGGGAGGAGATGGGGATACAAACGTGTTTTACTTTTTGTAAAATAACCTTTGGATTATCAAAAAATTATAAAAATTGCCCTAGGGTTGTGAAACCCTAAAGTGCCACGTGTCAACATATTATGCCATAGATTATCTTTTTATATAGATATAGATAGATAGATTATTAAATTACCGTTGATGAATTTTATAATATGAGAAGAATGTAACAACTAAGCAGCTTCAAAGATGATGATATGCAATAAAACATCAAAGAGTTACAATGTTAGAAAACTTTTGAACCTACACTTAAATTGTCAACTACTCGTTTTACGTATCATATGTATGTGTATAATTTCTCGCAGCATATATAGGTATGTATTTTCCTTCTCCACCTTTCCTCATTTCATTTTCCAATTCTCGCAGTTGTAGACTCTTGAGCAATGTTGTCCGAATCAGACCGACACGTTTGACTGATTGGATCGCGACCCAATAAGTCCGATTCAAAACAAAAATTCTGAAAAGAAAAAAAGCAAGAAGGGTTGAATCATGTATAAATTAGACTGAATTGGATTGGATCAGGTATAAAACCGAGCTCGACAAATAAAATCGGGTCTGAACTAATAAAATCGAATATCTGTAGTTTTACATTATAATATTTAATTTTATTATCTTTTTTATGTAAATATTGTTAGGTACAAGTTCTTTCCAAAACAGCCATGGATCCAAGAAAGCAATTGAAACAACTGAAAAATGAGAATTAAAATATTGATGAAAAGAACGGCTCAGTTCCCTTTTCCAGTGTTCATCCGATTTATCCAAGGTCTGGTGGCAACACCAACTGAAAACAAGCACCAAGATACAGCCACTGATCGGAACCCTAGATCCGACCCCAAACCTCACTCTGAGTTGACTCACCAACACATGCACAGTCAACTCAGTGATAACTCACCCTCTCCACTCTGCACAAACCCAGTTTTCTGCACACACAACACCAAAACCCTCACAGAAGAGGATTAAGGTCAGAAATGAAAAGGTTTGAATCAAAGGTGAATGACCCTTGTCTCTCTCTCTCACCACAGTATAAATACACACAGTTTCAACGGTCTTCAGCATTAAATGTGCTGCGACGGTAAGGACACCCATTGTCCGGCAAGACCTGCGACGGTGTTGCCGGAAAACGACAAGGGGTGACGAAACACTGTAGAGAGAGAGGGGGACAGGAGAAGAGAGAGGAAACAGCGCAGCAGAAGAATGCTGCTAGGGTTGAGAGTGGTAAGAGGAAAGGGGCAAATGGAGGGCTCAGATTGAAGCCCTAGAATAGACGGTTTAGATCTTAGGATGACTGGATCGATGGGCTTAAGTAATATTGGGCTCGATTTCACAAGTTTGGCTGTGAATAATTAAGCTATTGGCCCAGATCACAACAAATCATTTCTATTGGGCTCAATACTCAACAATTCTCCACCTGAGACCAATAAAAGGATTAGTATGAAACGCACTTAATGGACTGGGCTTATTGGTGAAAAAGATATCGCCCCTAAACCTGGTAAATTGCTTTATAATTATTTGGGTAAAGTCAATTTAAGAGAAAAAAAAAACCCTCGTTTATTATAAATTACATTCAGACCCCGGCAGTTTGTAAATTTCTTACATCCACCCCTATAAAATGGTGTTTAGTGTAAGAAATTTACAAATTTCAAAGAGTAGATGTAGTTACGGAAACATTTGGGTTTTTTTTACAAACATGAGGGCTGTGTCTTAAGAGAAGTGATTTCAATAGAATCACACACAACCACACACATTTTAGGAGTAAACTGCAAATACTACCCCTGTGTTATCTAGAAATAGCAAAAACCCCCCTGTGCTAAATAAACTAGCAAAAACCCCCCTGTGAAATTTAGTCAAAGGCAGAATCCCCCCTAGCTGATTTTTTAGACTTGAAATGACAAAATTGTCCCTCAAAATGTATTTAAATATATACATATTATATGTATATTTATTCTTTTTAATTTATTTGTTTAGAAATTAAAAAAAATAGTAAAACACTAAATTGATTATTTTTTAAATAAAATAATTAAAATATTTATAAAATATAAGAATTTATTAATTGCAAGACTCCAGGGGTATTTGTGTCTTTTTATATCAAGTCAACCCTCAAATAGTTCCATAGGGGGGTTTTTGCTATTTAAGTAATTTCACAGGGGAGGTTTTTGCTAGTTTATTTATCATAGGGGGGTTTTTGCTATTTCGAGATTATACAGGGGTGGTTTTTGCAGTTTACTCCACATTTTAGAGGTCTCGTTTGATTCTTGCACCAAATCAAATCAAATCAAATCTTCATTCTCCGTTAATCAATAGCTGTGGGGGGAAGATGCTGAAGCAAATGGTGGTAGGCTGCTGCAAGGTTTATATATCCGAAAGCAGAAACAAAGCTGCGCTGGAAGCCATTGAAAGGGCTGCCAAGCTTTTTCCAGAGGCACCCATTATCAACAAATTCGAGGATCCGACTTACAATCGGGTCGGATACACACTGGTTTCGAAATTGGGTCCGAACCCATCTTCTTCTTCGTCGCCGTGTACATTGAAAGGCGCTGTTTTGGAAATGGTGAAAGCTGCATTCGCGGCAATTGATCTTGAAAAGCACCGTGGGACCCACCCCAGGCTCGGTGTAGTGGACCACATTTGTTTCCATCCGTTATCTGGTGCTTCGGTGGACCATGTTGCCGGAACTGCCAAATCTTTGGCTGCAGATGTTGGCTCAAGTCTTCAAGGTTTTCTTCTTCTTCTTCTTCTCTCTTAACGAATTAAATTTGAAATCTTGCATTTGAAATATTTGAAATGGGGTGGCGGTGGGATTCAAACTCAGGACCTTTGAATTGTCTGACTCTAATATACCAATGTTGAATGACCACTTCTAGGAAAAGATTAAGCTGTTAGTGAAATGTATCATTTAATACTACTGATTAGTGATTATCTCTGCTGTTGTCGATGTAAAAGTACTTATCGAGACTTGTTGGATAAATAAGGATGAAGTTTTTGCTGACTCAGTTTAATAATTCATATCAAGAAATATGAAACTGTGTTGGATTTCGGAAGTACGGTTAACTAGAGGGATTACGCTAGTTGTGTGAAGTGGAATTCCTATAAAACAAAAGAGCAAACTCTATGAGATCGCTGTGAAGTCTGTGAGCTAATAACACATACAGGTTGAAAAGGAAAGCTTGAAATAGTTCTTACATAAAAGTACTAGAGTTAGATTGCAGCAAATTTGCTAGACTCACTTATTCGGAGAAGTAACTAATTTTTCGAGATATTTTCTGCTAGATTATAGTGGCAAAACTGTGATAACATTGAAAACGAGAATTTAACCACTGGATCCCACATATACAATGAGGCACATATAACGGTAACTTCTTGTTTTCGTGTCGAGGGGAGGGATATTTGTGGAATTTTTCCCTTTCTGTTTTTGTTTTGGTATTTGATTGTTTACGTGTTTACAAGTGTAGTAACCTCTAATTTTGACAAATATGGTGTCTATCGACATGCTATAATATCAATATGTCATTTCCTCGAACATTTATGTGAAATATTTCTCCTACATATACGATAACTAATGACGAGTTTTTGCTGCCTGAGTTCAATTCATACAGTCGACAAATTCTTGAAAGACAACTCCATAAAGAGTGCTATATATGAAGTCTGTGATTGAAATTGCATGCAAGCTATCAAGAAATAACATTAATAAATTGAAAACGAGGTAGCACTTTCGAAGTTATTGCACTTGATGATAGATTATTCGTATTCTTCGCTAAGTTTACTGGTTTGGACTTTTTGAAGAAGTATTCGATTTTTGGTTTAAAAGTTTTGCATTTTCTAACAACGTCGCGCATAGCATGCAGTTGCCACATTCTTATACGGAGCAGCACACAGTGAGGGAAGAACCCTCGACTCAATCAGAAGGGGTCTCGGTTATTTCAAACCAAACTCCGATGATAATCAATGGATAGGCGGGCCCCACTCGGAGACACTAGAACTGAACCCAGACGAGGGCCCACCTCGTGCACTTCAGAAAAAGGGGGTCGTTGTGGTGGGGGCCACCCCCTGGGTTGATAACTACAATGTTCCGATATTCTCTAATGATATGGATTTAGTACGAAGAATCGCAAAGAAGGTTAGCGCGAGAGGGGGTGGATTGCCTTCGGTGCAATCGATGGCACTCGCTCACGGTAAAGGTATAATCGAAGTTGCATGCAATCTATTAGATACGACTAAAGCTGGTGGAATTGAAGTTCAAAGGGAAGTCGAGCGGCTCGCGAAACAAGAAGGTATGGAAGCGGGAGAGGGATATTTTACCGATCTTTCTCGGGCTAAAATTATCGAGACTTACTTGCAGATGATGACTGCTCGGAATTCATCCCAATGATGATCTGAATAATGTATTTTATCGATTTTTTTTAGCTATTATCTTTTCGATAATGTATATACAAGCATTGAACTAACAAGAATGCTTGCTCTATATCAGTAGGTTCTTGTTTCGGGTATTGTGATGAATTAACACTTTCATCAATCCATTTTTTAAGTGAACAATTTAATTCAATTTTGTTCTGTATAATTTCAGAATAATCAAAAAATTATAATTTTGAATTGAAATGATAAAACTTTGTTCCGAAATTGAATTTTTTTAGACTGTAATTGACATAATTAATTCTGAAATTATATTTTCATGTCACTTATAGTATAAGTATCGCCAGAAAATCATTAGAAACTCAGCTTTAAATATTTCCAGAAAGTTTGTAGACAAAATACTAGGTGATGTCGGATTTTGATGGAAGTTCGCCGACCGCTAATTACCGGTCGCTGCCCCTGAAATTTGTAAAGGACTGCCGAATTTTTTAAACCTTCAAAGTAAATGTTGATAGTTTCAATTAAACATATAAGGAGGACGATGTTAAACAACAATATATCTCAGGTCATTTAATAATAATAAAAAAAAAGAAAAAAAAAAAGAAGCAATTATTGATACTTTAGGGGCATTTTGAAAAATTCTACTTCACCTTAGGGGTTATATTATTGATGGAACTTTGGGCTAGTTGAAATTATTTTATGCAGCCAATTAACAAAAAATCATTTGAGCCGGGCCCAACTATTCAGAAACTCAGCACCTAAGTTCACTCGAATTCGATCAAATATTTTGAAGACTCTAAATTATTGATCTTGGTCATTGATTTTTCTAAATTCTTGATCTTGGTCATTGATTTCTACCGTTTGATCAAAACTGTTCACTCGAGGTATTTCATCTCTCCCTCTCTCTGAAACCCTAATTTCTGATATTCTCTCTCTCTCTCTCTCTCTCTCTCTCTCTCTCTCTCTCTCTCTCTCTCTCTCTCTCTCTCTCTCTCTCTCTCTCTCTCTCTATCTCTGAGTCACACTTTGTGTCTCTTTTTCTGTATGTCTGCGTTAGCCCGTGCAGGCTTACTCTTATTTGCCTACATA